GTGAAGGGACATAATCTTAAAACCTGCCTGGCTTTATGCAGCTTCCTGGTTGTGACATATTTGACCTTCAATCATTTACAAAAATTCTGTTGCATTTATGCATAGAAATTTTGTTTTACTTCTTTTTTTTTCCCCGAATCATTTTAATACAGCCACATTGAAGGTTTATTGAGTATGAATAGCCTCTTTACTTTCAAATTGATTTAAATCTGAACTTTGAGTTCAAAATCTGCACAATCTTCCTTTTGTTTTTTGTTTTTTTTTTAAGCTATACAAAGTGATCCCTCCATGGTGTAATTGTTTGGATCATTGCCCTGCTGCATAACCCAATCTTGAGGTCAAAGGTTGATAGCAGGTAAGGAACAGAATTTGTGGTTCCATATGTCAAGACAAATTGTTCGGATCATAAAGAAACAAAGAATTCCCAGACCATTAGTCTTCCCCCACTCATGTTTGACAATTTCTATGATGTTCATTTTCTGAAATACTGTGTTGTTTCATACCAAAAAGTAATGGATATTTTCTCAAAAGTCTTGGGAATCAACAACATTTGGCTAACTTGAATTGAGACTGTTGTTATTTTGGTCAATAGAAAGCTCCCTCTTAAACTCTTTCACATATATAATTTTTGCTAAATCTCTCCCATATCTTTATTTCTTATTCTTGTCTGTTGCTCCATCTATTGTGGTGAAATGAAGTTATTTATTAATAATCATGTTATTTGACTATTTTGGGTTAAGGGATGTTTTGTATCAAAAGGAAATGTTTGTGTGTGTGTGTGTGTGTGTGTGTGTGTGGGGGGGGTGTGTGTGTGTGTGTGTGTGCGTGCGTGCGTGCGTGCGTGCGTGCGTGCGTGTGTGTGTGTGCGTGTGTGTGTAGGTATGTGTGTGTGAGTGTGCAAGGTACTGCGTCATCCTAACCTTAAAAGTTAGGAAGGATTTTATGACTTTGCAAGCTGTAGAAAAATACAAGTTGAGTTGTTGTGTTTTAATTGATAGACAACATACCCTAAGGATTCCAAGAAACTCCCCATAACAGTCCAACCAACATAAAGCAAGCCAAGATCTTCTCCAGCCTAAGAACGGACTGGTAAAAAAAAAAAAACAAAAAAACAAAAAAAACAAAAAAAAACTCTACTCTCACATAAAGCAGACTGGCTTCAGTATAAACACACCTAGCTCAGCATTAAATCTGGGGTTCTGAGAGATATGTGTGAGTACTGAGCTTGTGTGTGAGGCAGGTGTGCTAGAAGAACCCTCCATGTTCAGAGTGATGATTAATTTTTGTCCTGAGACATTTTTTTCACTCCCTGCAAAGTCTACCCAAAAATCTAGTCAACCTGTTTATTCATCTGCTCATCCATCCATCTTTGCTTAAATTAGATAATTATTTCCCTGCTCTTCAAGGCCATGATTAAATCTAGTTTCTGACCACTAGGTGGCAGCAGAAGCAGAGTTTTAAAAAAGTATTTCATTTCAACAGGAAGCGAATGGAAAACTTAATCTTCTGATGTTGCTTGATGAAAAATTGATGGAAATGTTCTGTTACATTTTGGAGCTTAGTCCACTGATTTGTATTTCTAATATTTTACTTTTTTTGGTCGGAAGTCACATTTAGAACAAGGCAATCATTGGCTTTAGACATTATCCACTACTAAAATATGAATTTGTTTTTCGTTTAATGAGAGCTGACTGCATGGAGGTCACTTAAATATTCCAATTGAAAAAAAAAAAAAAAAGTTTTGCATATTTTATTTCTCAAACTCACAATGCAGCACCTGAGTTAAAAACAGGCTAATGCAGTGATCTGTTATAGTGAGATAATTGTAAATAGGGTTTTTCAATATGAAATTGACTGAATAATTGTTTATTGCAGTGAACTGGTATTTTACTCATCAGTCACTTTGCTAAAGTTGATTTGTTAGGAGTTAAATTTCAAATAATTATTATTTTTTGAAAAATCACATAGACAACGTTTCTAACAAAAATAGAAAAACATCTGGTGATATCTTTATGTTTAGACAATACAAAATTGCAATGGAAAAATGTGCAGTTCAGTGAAAGAAAATGATTAAAATCATACATCAGTTTGTCTTGGGTAAAACTAAATTAAATTGTGGAAGGTCTTATGTTCATTTTAATTAACTTCAATAGATCCTCTTTAACCTAAAGTGATTCAGGCTTAGGGGTTTGCCGTGTTTTACTTAAACCATGAAGCAAATTGAGGTGATTTATTTCTTCTTGTTAATTCTAATGAGGCTACCTAATTGTGCTTTCAGCACAGACTGCCGTATTAAGTCAATATACATCACACACTGCAGGATCAGACTGGTATAGGCAAAAAGAGAAGATAATAATTGCAATACTTACAGTATTTATTAGTCTTATTACATAAACATGGCAGATGAAGAAAGACAACCAAAATGTACTCAAAGTAGTCTGCATAATTGTGATCATCTCATTAAGCTCTCAGCACATCATGCAAAGTAAGCAACAGAATAAGACTGTTGCTGTCTTACATCTCGCATTTTAAGCCAAAACTGTCTATGAAAATTGAATAACGTTGAAAGCACTCAGTATGATTAAAGCCAAATCTCTGGTGATTTCTTTACATGGCCTGTTTAAAATATATATTTCTCTCACAGTTTTACAGCTAGGTTGCATCAGACTTGGAGGAAAATCTAAAAATAACTAAACTCAAGGCTGAACATTCAACGGACTCCAGAGCTGTCAAGCCTGATGAAGACAATGTGAAGTTATATAACAAAATATCACATTTTATAGTTTGAATAATGAATTTGAATAGAAGTACAAGGCTATTTACGTAGCAGACTATTTGTTTCTGAATTCTCAAACAGCCAAAGTTTACTGCACTTCTAAACTGTCACCTTTTTGAGCTTCTCTCATGTATTCATGTATTTTGAATTTGAAGAAAGAAAACAATTATCACTTGTACTTCTGATGTTTAGCAAAAAAATAATAATTCAGAACATTTTTACTGTCCTGAAACAGGAAAAATATTGGACTGATTTAACATCAGCCCTGGTTTGCTGTGTTTGTGAATATTTGGCTCATCTATGACTTTATATCACAAATATATATATTTTAATTTGCTTCAACTGATTACTAATGTTCCAGCTAAAGGTTTTGAGTATAAATATCATAAATACATTTTATTTCTAAAAGAATATTCATCCTACAGCAGATGCATAGAGACCATAATATTCCTGGGGGGTGTTCATGTCTGTTTAAGTGTTGGGATGTGGTTTATGAACACCTCTTTAATCTACTTCTTTGGCTTTCTGTCCAATGGGAGCAAATAAAATAGATAATATTACAGGCCAAGCTAGGCCGAAGGATAGCACCCGCCAGACAGACCTATATAACAGATTGAGACAGGGAGAGGTAATCCTAAAGGGTTTAAATCTCCGCTCATACACGTGATTATCTTTTTTTTTTTCCTCCCTTTTTCTGGGTTATTCTGGGCGACTGCATGAGACGAACAAAATTATTTGCTGCACGGAAAGTCTCTTAACCCTGCAAACATGGGTGGCTCCTACCTTAGTGATTATTTTCCACTACTTTTTCCCATATTGTGTTTTTATTTCAGAGTCAGCATTTAAGCACTTGGAGCAAAAGAGGCAGAAAATGTCGGTAAATGTCCAAAGAGATTAATGGTATTTCAGTTGGAACACACGTGGTGCCAGGAGAGAACGAGCAGCAAATACAGTATTACTGTGTACACATAATCCTTCATCTTTTTGGAAAAAAAAGAAAGAAGTCACATTCTTGTAGGGTGGTTTTGTGGTTTAATGTTGCAAAAGGACAACATAAACATTTTGCTTTATCAAACTTAAACATATTTGTCAGAGTGGAATCATATGGAGAGGATAACGCTTCTCCGTTATGCAAGAAAATGTGCCATTTTGGCTAATTCTCAACAATTCCAACTCTGATTAAACTTCTTTTAGTTTCAAAACCATCTGGAAAATTTCTTTATAAAAATTAAAAGCATTTGACACAGACATTGAAGATTGAAATCAGCATTTAATAACAGGCTGAAAAAAAAGGTAATTTACAGTAACTAAACATTTTTTAGTGCATGTGTGTTAGATTAAAATCTTTTTTCCCGGTGTGGTTAAGCACTGTTTTTGTATATAACATTGTGCATCAACTAAATTAAGCACACATGCACCAATAGTAGCATACTTGAACAACACTAATCCCCAAAACTAGATAAAATGATGCAATAAGCAGAGGACACACGTTGCCCTGACCTAAATAACAACAAGACAATATTGTTCAGGTGAGCATTCTCTCTGTCGATGGTGAGAATGTTGCTGAGGCACATATTTCTCTGTTTTGTGTAGTTACATTATTTAAAAAAATTCCATAAATATAAAAAAGAGAAATGTTAGCATGCTGTGATAGAATAAACAGTCCCCTAATATTGTAATAAGGTGAATTTATGCAACAAAAGGAAAGGCAGATTTAAAAAAAAAAGAGTCTAAAATCTGAAACAGGAAGGATACATTCCCTATGTACATTATGGCTTGCTATCAGTGGTTTGACACTCCTTCATCATGATTTAATATAAGTGCTATAAAGAAAAAAATATATAGCTGGATATTTTTTTTTCTGCAACCTTATAAGTAAAACAAATCCCTAAAATCACAAAAAAGTTTGGTTTAAAAGAAGAAATTCTTTTGTTGATCTATACACCATAGTTGGATATAAAAGCTTTATATATATATATATATATATATATATATATATATATATATATATATATATATATATATATATATATATACTATTATTATTATTTTTTTTTTTTTAGAATAAAAGCCAGTGTATAATTGATAAGTAAGTTCTGGCATGTGAAGATAAGTATAATTAAACAGTATCAGGTCTGGTTTATATTTTTAAAGCAGTAGATGTTTCAAATTTATCACAGCTGAAGAAAAGAGGAGTTAAACCTATGATAATGGTTAAATGTTGTTTTTTATAATAAAAAAAAGCTGTAGTAAGCACATGCTGATTAAAAGTATGATGTGTTAAAAGAAATGCAGAGCAAATGAATTTTATTTCCTCAAATGACACAGAAAAGAAGCCACTGATATAATTTTCAGCTCTAAAACTCACAGAGGGACTAGCATGATCGAAAATATACCCTAACTGCTTTCTTAAGGGCCATTTCAACTCTGGTTGCTGTCTTTGAGCCATATAGTGGAAGTACTTCATTCAGAGACTAGTCTCATCACCTTATATCTCTTTAAATAAGTTTCATAGTAAACCTGCCCCCATCACCTCCATCCCCTCCTCCTCCACCAACAGAAGAACGAGGAACAAAGTCAATAGTTGCTGTGTGCTTGATCTGACCTTTGCTCTGACTCCAGAAAAACATGAAGACAAAACAGATGGCCACAGAACTGAGGAATGACAGAAATCCCATGGTAGTGGCAATTATCAGGGTCTTTGCGTCAAAGGGATATGGCTTGGCCATTTGAGCTGAGGAGTTGGCAGCTTGGGCAGTTGAAGGCTCAACCCAACCTTCTTCTGTGAACAAAGGGATGGATCTGTTACGTGGAAGCCCCTTCACATATAGACCCACAGTCAGGCTGTCATTGCCCGCTGCATTGCCTGCCAGGCACTGGTATGCACCACTGTCCTGAACCTGAGCAAATCTCACCTCCAGAGTACCATTCTGTAAAACTCTGATTCTTCCCGAAGTAGAGATCACAGTCTTCTGGGAGGAAATCCAGGTGATAACTGGTAATGGGTCCCCATCGACCTTGCAGGAAAACAGAACGGTGGTACCCTCTTCCACTCTTGCCTCCTGCGGCCTGCGGTCCAAGACACGAGCAGGGCGACAGGTGAACAGCTTTGGGAGTTCTTTTTCTGAGAACTCTCTGAATTCTCGATGTTTCACCGTATCAGGAGAAGAGCAAGTGGGCTGATGTCCATCAAAGTTCAAGCGCAGCCTGCGACGGACCACCCACAGAAGCCGACAATCGCATGCAAGGGGATTCCCGTCCAACCGCAACACCTGAAGGTTCCCCACTGAATGGAAAGCACTCTCCTCCAAAGTAGTGAGCTGATTTGATGTCACATTAAGCATGCGAAAGAAGGACAGACCCCTGAAGGCTCCTGGCTCTATTTGTAGCAGACTTGACCCGGCAAGATGCAACTCCTGGAGTCTCAGTAGATCCCCCAGCAGGTTACCTTGAATGACAGTGATAGGGTTGTAGGACAAGTCTAGAAAGCGTAGGTACACTAGATGACGAAGGGCTGCATAAGGAATTGAGCTTAGGTTGCAGCTACTGATGACAAGTGAGGTCAAATTAAGACCAATTAGACTGTTGGTGGCAATTGAGTCTAATGTTGGCCAGTTCGAGATCACGAGACTTCGCAAACGGTGGAGTCGTCGAAAAGCATTGTTGGGTAGTGCAGAAATAGTTAGGCGTATCATGCGAAGTTGGACCAGGCTCTGGAGTTGGGACAAGGCTTCGGTGGGAATGGAGGTCAGGTTGCTCCGGTCTAAGTTGAGCTCTTGCAGATTCTGCAGACCAAAGAAAGCTCTTTGTGAGATGAAGACAAGGTCATTCTCCCCAGTTTCCAGCCATTGCAGGTTGACCATTTCTTTGAATGTATAGTCCAGAAAAACAAGAATCTCATTCTGACTCAAGTCCACATAGCGCAGACTCGACAAGCCAGAAAACACTCCCACTGGGAGGATCTTGAGACGGTTGTTTTTAATTCGAAGTGTCCTAAGATTCCTGAGGCCCAAAAAAGCCTCTACTTCAATCATGGAGATTACATTATCACTGAGGTCCAACTCCTGAAGTTGCAGGAGGCCAGAGAACTGACGACGTCCCACAGTTTTAATCCTATTGCGGGATAAATCCAAACGTCTGGCGTCGTTGGAAACACCCTCTGGCACAGAAGTCAAATATTTCCCAGAGCAGACAGCTTCTCTTGCCTCAGGTCTGCACGTACATCGTGAAGGGCAGCCTCCTGCAGATACACCCAGACCAAACTGAAGCAGGATGCTCCACACCCACCATCGGACAGCTGACTCCACAAACATCTTATGCCCTGCCTGAAGAGAGACAAACACAATGTCACTACATGATCAGAGGATCCTTTATATAAAAAAAAAAAAAAAAAAAAAAAAAAAATGAGCAAAGTGTAAATACAAACCGTTTCAGACTTGGAGTGCAGATTTTCATAACCAGTTATGCAGGAACCATGGCTGATTTAGGTCCTCGGTCGGGAAGTTTTCTGGTTCAAAAGGATGTCTTCCAATGTGTCCTAGATTGAAGAAAGAAGAAGAAAAACAAGCCTAAGTAAAGTGCAAAATGATTATACATTTTTTGTACACACAAGTATAATCTTTCAGTGAAAAGGCTGCAAACTTTCTTAGAATAAACAGAAAACGTACAAACCCTGTCCATCTCATTAGGTCTCTAAATTAAAACTGTAATAAATAAGATAAGTTAAAAGCATGAAACAAGTGCAGCCTTCTAAGCATTCTGTTTTCCCTTGAGTGCTAAATCATTCATTTTGCAGCACTCCTCTACATGAAAGGCTGAGGTACAACTACAAGCGAGCTTAAATTAAGGGTCACCAAATGTTTCACAGTTCAGTTGGCAATGATTCTAACCTTCTGATCCCAAGAAAAAAAGCAACTAATAACAGATGGACATTCTTCATTGTAACTATATAAAAGAAATGACTTCTGTCTTTCGTTAGCTGGAGATAGGAACCAGCACCCCTCCCGACCCCACTGAGGGACAAGGGTGTTCAGAAAATGGATGGATGGATGGATGGACTTCTGTCTTTTGATATGACAAAAATTTTAAAAATGTGCTCATGATGACATGTAATCTGCTCTCGTTGATTATAAGTCAAACTTATTTTTGTGCACAATTATGACTTTTTTTTTTCTTGACTGAAAAAAATTGTTCATAATAATGCCATTTCCAAGTTCACAAAGGCAACTGAGAGTGATATGATGCACAAGATAGAGAAAAAAATATGCAGACCAAAGTTTTGATAGAGTCCAAAGTATTTACAGAATTTTATGCAAAAAGCAGTATAAAACAAAACCAATGACAATGAAGTGTGAAAAACGCTCGAACAGTAAAGAAACACATTCATATGGAAATGTTCTTGTATTGTTTCTTGAAGTGTCTGACCTTGTCAGCAGCATAAAATGTAATGAGAAGAAATAATTAAAATGTGAATTTCCCTTAAAACAACCACTGGAATGACTGGCTGCAATACAACAAAGCTTCAGGAATTGAATTTTATCAGTAAAGTGAAACAAAATCTCACAATTTAAACCCTAAACATAAGCAACACTTATTCACCAATATGTCCAATTTTAAAAAATGGACATATAGCTTCCAAAAACACACTCCAAAGTCCAAAAAATTATAAAATAATATATTCTAGAAGCAGTTTAAATCTAACCTGGAGCAGCCGAGGCTTCTTAAACTTCAACATCAGACATCAGACCATTCCCAGAGTGTTGCCCCAGCCTCGTTGCAGCCTTTCCTTTTAGTGACAGCTACCAACACTCCCAGAGCTGTGCAGGCTTTGTCTCATCGCTGTTCTCCAAGCAAACACTTCTTATACCATCTGGGAGGGAGTGCTGACTCACGAGCCAAGACTTGCACTTTTAAACTCACTGCACTTGTGGTTGAGTTATACATCAAAGTGCTGGCAAACCCAAGGGACTTTTATACAACCCTCCCCTAAGATGGTGACAAGTAGCCATTTACAGCTGGTCCACACTGACAACAGCTTGACTTATCAGTCAATTCAGGCTCAACAATAAAAATATATTTCTTTATTATTAGATATGACCTTCTCTAATGTGAGGAGACCGAGTGCTGTGCATGCCTTGATTTAAAAAAAGGAAGAAAAAAAAAGAAACATCTCCTTAAAAACCAGTACTCTATGGATAACTACAGCACTTAATAGATTGTCAATAACAAAGAGCAGCTCTTTAAAACCAGTGGGTTTAAATGAGCTTAAAATGCCTTTCCTAACTAAGTTGTCAGAGACGGAGCCTGGCAGGTGTGTGAAATCTCAGACTGGGCCAGTTGCTGAGCCCTTTCAGCTCATCTTGGATCAGGACCACTCCTTCTCTCAGTTTTTTACATGCATCATAAAGCTGCAGTCCACAAAAAGGTCACCACATTGAGCCACAGCAGGGACCGACCCCTTCCATCAAATCAAAAGGGGGACAGGATGGGTGAGAGAAATGCATTTGGAATTTTGTCATTTACTTCTCACCCTGCAAGGAGCAAAGTCAAGAGTTTCACATTACTGTGTTAATTATTTTAACTACTTCTTATTACACAGAGTCATGTGCTGTTTCCATTGCTGATGGAGATTGAAAATGGA